TTGTCCTCTGACTTCTACAAATGTATGTCATGACATTCGTGTGCATGGCACACACATGCGGGCACACACACACGCAAATGTAATATTTTACAAAAAATTTTGTTGAAGTTACTAGGGATAGTCACTAGGTGGCAGTGTTTATATACATTTTTAAGTGAAAAACAGCATTCATTGACACTGCTTTTAGTAGTTCATCCAAAATAGTTACTTTTTATAACATTTATTTTTATTTTACGTGTATGAGTGTTTTGTCTGCATGTAAGTGCACCACGTACGTGTAATGGCCACAGAGGCCAGAAAAGCAGGTCAGATCCTCTGGAACTGGAGTTAGGGATGGTTGTTAGCTACCATATAGGTGCTAGGAGCTGAACCTGGGTCCTCTGCAAGAGCAGCCAGTGCTCTTAACCACTGAGCCATCTCTCCAGCCCCAAAGTGGTTTCTTGAGGAAACCTACTTCCTTATTTGTTAATCATTCTCATTTTAGATCTGGGGGCAAAATGGTTCAGAGCACCTAACTCTGTCACTTGGTCTTTGGTCAGTCAACAGATTCTAGCAGTCAGCTTTTCTTAGTGGACAGTGGACTTTTCAGTTCCTTGAAAACTCTGCTCAGAACTTGGAGGCTCGCCATGCTGGGCCATTGTTGGTCCTTTGCACCCTCTGTGGGAAATGCTGACGGACAGCCATGCTTGGCTCCCCCAGGAAACCCTCCTGATAAAGGAGATAAGAAAATGAGGACTGGAAGAACCAAGCTCTAGGGAGAGTTCCTGAGAGTTGGCCCTATGTAGTTATATACACTGAGAGCAGATGTGCTCCTGGGAATATTCTAGAACTTTGGAGACACCACAGAAGAGTGAGGTCTTGCTGAGCCTGGCCAAATCTCTGGGGAGGGTGGCTATACTACTGTAGTGGTGTAACTGAGAGTCAGCTGGGGTGTCTAGTCTGGGAAAGACCTGCCCAGCAGTAAGCTAGACGGAGAATGCCCTCTTTGCCCCTGCCCGACCTTGTAGGGTTGGACATTAGAGGTAAAGTTGCAGCAGGAGGCTCCTGGGTACCGGGGGCTTACAATTGGGATTAGTAAAGCTTCCTTGTGGTAAAGTGTGAGCTGAAAGTGGAAAGAAAGCTGGTTAGACAGGTTAGGTTAATAGGGTATTCTAAGTTTCAGTTGATAGGCCCAGCTAGATTTCAACTGTCCTTACTCTCAGAAGAAAAGCAGACACCCAGTGGAGTATGCAGACCTCTTGGGACTTCTTGGTAGAACTTGCTGCATACTTATTACTAAAGCCATCAGCTGCATCCAACCACTGAGCTCTGGAAATGTGGCCACTGCCACATCTTGAAATACTATCTCGGATGTGTTTAGAAAAGCAGTGTATTCGCAAAATTACTGTAATGTTTCTGTTGTTTCGCGTGGCTTTTAGATTATTAAAAGTTACACAAGTGGATCTGGTGATTCTCTTGGCTGTCGTTTGTCAGCCAAGCTGTGAAGACAGAGTGGTCCGACAGTGGAGAGCCGGGGAATGACCCCAGGGTTCTGGGGACATGCCGGAACTCCAGAATAAGTACACCGAGCACTTTGAGACATTCTGTCAACAGTTGGGTTCACAGACCTAGGGATTTGGGGCAAGTCACTTGACTAGTGAGAGGCTGCACGGCTGGGTCTGGGGAGGGAATCGCACCTGCACTCTCAGCAGTCTCCTGCGCCCTTTGTGATGCTGGGTCTGTCACAGTTTTGCAGTGACATAGCAAGACATGTAAGTGGGGTGGCTGAGGATTAAATACTAAACGAAAAGATGAGGGCGTCTTCCAAATATGGCGGAGCCAACATTTTCATTCTTCACCAGTACGCGGCTCAATTCTTTACCTCTTGGAACCTGGTCAGGAAGCAGTTTTTCACTACAGAGTTGAGCTTCACCGGGCTTTCTGGTTCCAGAGCCTGCCCAGGTTCATCCGACCACGCCACTATGGCAGGTTCGCAGTCAACGCTGTGCAAAACCTCTTTTCAAGCTTTCCAGATGCCTGGCGTTCAGCCTTCCTCTGCCTATAGCACCTGCGCTCAGGAAAGCCCAGAACACCCGTTCCCAGAATGCTGTGCGATAACCCCTACCATCCAAGACTACATCTCCCAGAATGCTCCGCGTCTGCGCCCCAACTCCCTTTTTTTCATTCTTGTTTTGGAAAGTTTACGGAATAATATGCCATACACGGTCTGTCTTGATACCCGAACTCAAGGTTTACCAGAGCCCCAGATGCTGTGGATTAGATTTTATAACACAGGAGCAAATGCAATAGGATTATGATTGCAGCCCGCCGAACTGCAGAGTGCACTGGGGATTGAAAAAGTTAGCTTGTGTATGTACCAGATGTTACTGTAAAATTGAAACCACAAAGGACAAGTCGAGCCCTCGAGTTGCAATAGCAAGAGGCTTTTATTTTACACAGGTACCTGTGGGCACAACTCCTGACAAAGGGAGAAGCGCCCCAGGTCTGGGGTTTGGGGTCTTTATAGAGCAGAAGCAGTTTACAGAAGCAGAAGCGTGGTTATTGGTTAGTTTAAACTATTACAAAATGCTATAGGGAGAGCGGGGGGG